TGGAGGAAAAGTCGTGCTCTAAAAGTTCTATTTTTTTTGATAGAATCCGGGGCAGTTTTTCTGGTTATGCAATTGTTGTCATTGATTGTACTGTCCATTGATGTGTCTCCACTACTGATACCAAACTTGAAAAGTCTGGAAACCATTACCTTTGGTACAGATGCCAGTGTGCAAGTGTGGCAGGCTTCAGCAGTAAGTCTGTTTTTCATTTTTTATTGTCCAGGAACACCTTGGTTAAAATCTTTCAGGCACTTTATCCAATTGCCATAATAATTATAATCCAATCAAACCATTCGCCCATTGTAGAAACACTTCATTTAACTGCTCAAACCCCAACTCTCAGTGTTTCATAGAGCATGATGTGTTGAAGATACTCAGTATCTAGTAGTAGAATATCCCTTGCTTTAACATTACCTATTGTTTCTATCAAGCTAGTGAATACAATCTCAGGATTACTTTGAGAGAACTTGGGGTGCTCACAACACCTTGTATGTTGGTGATGGATGGGGCACTGCTTGATCTAGTATTGTAAAGTCTATGTGTCCTGGGTGTAACAACTACGGCCCTCCGGCCCCCTACCCCCCTTTGCAAAGTGGCGCTCATATTACCTAATGACGCTACTCTTACCCTCGTACCACCCGTATTTCGTCTATTAATTTCTGTAATAGAACCAGATCTTGCTCATGGTCTGAGGGATTTAGAGCCAGAGGTGTTACACTGGGATCCTGTAAGTCTCTTATATTGAGATATATAGAAGTGTAGTAGTAGGGCTAGACTGCCCTCTCATCAATAGTTCACTTCCTGTCACTTTCACTAGTATTCTATTTCATTTACAGTACATTGGCCAGGATGGGACCTAAATACTGGATTATGTTGTATAAGCTACAGAGCTTTGTCCACTCTGGAGTCCGTTAGCTGGTGTTGGGGGAATCCGCCAAGCGCCGGTATGCCGATCCTGCTTGCTGATTGAGGATCTCAGGGAATCGATTGGACCGACTCGAGGTTAATTAACTTTCTTTTCGATCGCTTCATCATTGTACTTCTTTTCTTTGTTTATTTATATTTAGTACCTACTTCTCTGTCATATAAAGTACTTTTCCCCCCTTTGTTCGGAACTGTCATCTCTCAGAAGCCAACGAGCCAACCTTTTGAGTGTTCCGTCGTTGTCTACGGTGTAGCGACACGGATACATAATCAAAGTTAAGTGTTTGCTTACCGTTATCTCCGTTACTCGCTACTTGATAAGATTACGCGCTCTAGACGCGTCGTCTTCTTTCTTTTACGGCTAGACGACTTTCCCTGACCCGACTGACTACCCTTGAGTCTATCAGCAGACTCCTTATCTCGTATACAGAAGTAAGTTGATAGAGGAGGAATAGGGATGAATTGTAGTGATAGAAACCTGTAACCCCGGTCGAGATCCTCGCGAAGAGGGGCTGGAGTCGTTACCAGTGTGAGTGTCGACGTCGCGCTTGCCTCAACATGTCTAGGCTTAATTAAATTATAATCCATTATTTTGATGATCGGCTGGAAGGGAGTGTGCTAATGGCTAACAAACACGATGTATGCTACTGATATGCTTTCATCCCATGCCCTGGACACCTCCAGAGTCGAAGCAATTTGGGAAGGACAATAGTGTTCCTCTGTGGCCGCAGAGCGAAGTATTTCATGAGGTTGGTAGTTCCGCAAGTCGTTTAAAGTGTGTGTAATATGTAACTTAGTAGAGAGAGGACTTTCAAAGAATCTTAATGCAAATGACAATACTTACGTCGCGAGATATTATAGAGATTGATATATATTGAACCGAAAGGAGTTCCTGAGTCCCCTTGCCCAGGTCAAGTGGTCCGAAACGGATGCGTCAAAGCTGAGGATTTCTTCCCATCTATGGCAAGGCTCCGGCAGTTGCCGAAGAGCGGGCCAAGACCGCCGAGTTATACTTTTTTGACTCGCCGTCTGGTGATGTCCTCACCTCCAACCATGCATTCACCACCAACTTATCCAGCGCCCACGCCAAGTTAGACTACTTTGGCTCACCGCCTGGCGATGTACTCACCTCCTCCAACCCATTCACCACCAACTTTATTCAGTACCTGCGCCAAGTTAGACTCTTTTGGCTCACTCCTGGAAATGTCCTCACCTCCCTCCAACCGTGTATTCACCATCAGCTTATCCAGTGCCCACGCGGAGGCGTTTTATAAGTGGCCTGAGTCCCTTCCCTCTCCCCAAACTCCTACATCCGCCATGGAGAAGCAACCGTCCGTTGCAGACGACACCGCTTTCCCGCAATCTGCTTTCACTACGGAGAAGCAAGCATACGCTTCGGACAGCAAACCGTTCAACTCCACTTCCCAACAAGATACGTTCCCCTCAGAGAAGCAGCCATCATCTTCCGTGCACGACAGAGCACTTGAAAGTGTTACTGACGATGGCAGTCAACGAACCGACGTGATCGATCCCGATGAGCTTCCTGAAGGTGGCCTAGGCGCCTGGCTCACCGTTCTTGCTGTCTTCCTCCTCACTTTCGTATCCTTAGGCACGGGAAGCGTGTGGGGAATCTTCCAAAGTGCCTATGCCACCGACCCATCCTCCCGATTCCAACAAGACAGCACATTCAAAATTGGATTTGTCGGCGGCTGCAGTGGGCTTGCTTTTATAATCGGATCCTTTTCTAATATCCTCATCTCCAAGTTTGGTATCCATGCGCCGATTATACTGGGTGTTGGGACTCTAGTGGCTGCGCTGATGCTGGGATCAATTGCGAAGACTTATTGGGAACTTTTGCTTTCACAGGGAATTATGTTTGGGTAGGATTTTTTTTGTTGTTATCATACTTATTTGGAATCCTGATAAATGTTGCTTTTTTGAACAGAATTGGTTGTTCTTTCGCATATGTACCTGCCATCAGCCTTCCTGCGCAACGGTTTCAAAAAAAACGAGCTTTTGCGACAGGCATTGCCAGTGTACATTTTCCGACACTTCTTTTTTGTGGGTATATCTGACTGATCCATCGAACTGTATTTTTTTTTCTTCAGGCAGGAGCATGTGCAGGCGCAGTCATCCTCGCACCCGTCGTTCAATCCTCCATCGACCATTTCGGCATCCCCTGGGCCCTGCGCATCCTCGGTTTCCTAACTCTAGCACTCGGTGTCACAGCTATATGCTGTATCCGCCAACGAGGGGCAACCAAGAAAATCGTCCAGTACAGACCTTTCGACCCTAGTCTGCTTAAGATCCCTGGATATCCTCTATACCTTGCTTTTGCATTTTTGCAGTTTTTTGGGCATGAGATACCATTGTTTTTTATTCCGAGTAAGCGATGGCGTTGTGGGGTTCATCAAAAATTATACTGGCTGTCTTATCTGAACTATTACAGGTTATTGTACGACGATACGAATATCCCCTGTTAATGCCTCGGCGGTTTTGTCTGTTGCGTCATCGGTAAGTTGTATTGGGCGAATCATGGCAGGGATGATGGCGGATAAATGGGGGACGATCAATGTCCTTATTTTGTTCAAATTTCTTTCGGGGCTGACATGTCTTGTTATATGGACATTGGCAAAGAGTCTTGGGGTTATGATGGCGTTTGCTGTATTTTGGGGTTTTTTCAGTGGTGGTACGTCTTATGATTCATTGAACTGATGGAATTTTGATCTTGATTTATACTTTTTGCTCCCCCCCCTCCTCCGCTTCTTTCCCTCCTTTTTTGTTTCTTCACAAAAAAAGCATACTGGGCCCTGTCCGTCCCAGCCTCTGCTAAAATCGTCGGCCTCGAAAAACTCGGCTCAGCAGTAGCCCTCCAGTTCCTGACGAATGTCCTCCCGGCAATATTCGCTGCGCCCATTGGATCCCAGATTATCGCTGCTACTGCTGCTAATGCGGGGATCTCGATAGATGATGTTGAGGCATACAAGTTTCTAATTGTTTGGGCTGGGTTGGCATCGGTGGTGTCTTCGCTGATTTTGGTGCCTGTGAGGCTGGGTTTTAGCACGAAGTTGTTGGAGAGGGTCTAGGGAGAAGAAGGGTAGGAGGAGGAGGAGAGAGGGGCCCATAGTAATACATGGCATTTTTTTAATTTACATTTTATGGTATCTTATCTATTGTATCTTCTCAACAGCATCCCCAGATGATCCAGATTCCGGATGTTTCAAAGCTACTGCAAATCCCACTCAGTGTATTCCATGCATTATCTCAATAGCATGAGGAATCTCATAAGATCATATTCGTTCTGACTCTCATGGCCAACTATATAGCTCACTTGGTTAGTGCGCTTTGATTTCCCGAATACAGCGGCTTTGTTCGAACGCGAATGCAGGGTTCCATCCCTTCGTTGGTCATTTCCCGGTTATACAGAATCTTGTTTTTTACACATTTTATAGTAGTGTTATGTAGTGTTATAGTAATGTATTTATGCCACCATGTTATTTAAATCTCCGAGTCTTCGGGATTATGGCATTAGAGCAACCTTGGAGCTGGGGACTGATATCGAACTGAAGGCTTTAGACTTTTGCATTTCAGCATTTTTTTTTTTTTTTTTTTTTTTTATCTATCTATTTCAGATAAGTATTGTTTTTAATACTATTATTTTTTTTTTTTTTTTTTTTCTTGCTTCAGGCCTTTATTTGATTAATTTTTTTATTCTTACTGGATAGACTAGACAAAGTCTGTCCAATAGAATGAACTTAAATTGAGGTCCTTCAGGAAGGCCGAGTGTTATTAGTCGATACAACTGAGCTCCGAGTTTCTCATTCCGGAACCGTAATGAGTACACGAAATAATAACTTATTTTTTTTTAGTACTTTGTTGACCTTATTTTCAAACTCAAGTTTGAGGTTTTGTGGATACTGATTTAACCCAAAAACGGTGGCGGAACCGTTGTCATTTTGTTAAGTACAAAACTTCCAAAGAAGCGGCCTGCGATGTACTGGAATCATGCAGTGATCTTGAGGATGAGGTAGATCTCAGGTGTGTATTACTTCAAGTTGGGCTCATGTTTTTTCAATTCCCTGGTAGTATATCGGTTAGTACACGCGCCTGTCATACAGCTGGGTAAACATGACAAGCTTATCGCGCGAAAGCTGGGTTCGACTCCCAGCCAGGGAGTATACTGTTGCGGAGTTCTTTCTCGGCAAGTTAACTTTTGTCGACTTATCCGTGGACTTGACGTTTCGCCGTCATGGCTTCACCAGCTCCAAACTTCGACTTGAAGCTTGAAGCTCGAAGGCAAGTCTCGCATTCATAGTGAAAACCTTTAGCAGAACGCCTTGCAGCTCAAAATGGCTCAAAACGGGATAACGTCGGAGAGCGAGCGGCGATCTTGTCAAAGCTGAGGATTTCTTCCCATTTACGGTAAGGCCCCTGCCGCGGCCCCGGCAGTTGCCGACCGGGCCTAGACCGCCGAGTCAGACTCTTGGCTGTTGCACTGCTTGGCAATGTCCTCACCTCCTCCAACCATGCATTCACCACCAACTTACCCGGCGCCCGCGCCACGCCGCTCAGCGATGAAGCACTCCATCTCCTCACTAGAATCGCCACTTTCGTTGTCTTATGCATCTCTCAGCGCAGTTCCCTCGACAAGCCCGCCAAGCGCCGATATCCTCTCCGCCGGAACTGGTATCTCAAAGTCAGATGTACAGCGTTCATCCTCGCAAAATAGTCTCGGCGCCCAGACTGCAATGTCTCCATACTTTTCATCGAACCCACAAACGCCTGTGCCTGGATATACACCGAAAGTGTCGTTTGATACGTTTGAGAATCCTGCGGCTAGCATGTTCAGCTTTACGTTGAGCTCAAAGTCGGCGGGATACAGGAGATCAGGAGCAACGAGGTCAGCTTGGATCATTGGTTGTTTTCTCTTGGTTGAAATGTGTTTCTTATTAGAGTCTTTTTGTGTGCATCCTCGGCGGATGAATCAGGAAGAGAAGCACTCGATTGGTCGCTTGAAAGCTTTGTGCAGGACGGTGACGAGTTTGTTGTTTTCAGAGGTGTTGAAGAAGATGTACTTGGTATGCTGGCGATACTCTGTTGATCCTTTCGTGTTCCTCATTCCAAATCCAAATCGCCCTGTAGACAAGGATCATGATATTGTACGCGAGGATGCTCGTGCGCTTATGGCGTATATTCAAGCAAAGAGTCAGGAATTCGACCCAGATCGCAAAGTCAGTCGTTCGAACCACTTTTCTTCCCGCTTTGACGCTGATTTCTCGGATTCAGCTGTCTATCATCTTGGAATATATCGCAGGAAAGGTCACCGATACTCTTGATCGCCTTATTGCTCTTTACAAGCCCGATTCGGTTGTAGTTGGGACCCGTGGACGCAGGTCAGTTGCATCATTGTCGGCCGCAGTGCTTGCGCTTGCGCTCATTCGCTGATCGATCTTGTGATTGTATAGGGCATGGCAAGTCGGTATAGGCAAAGGAACGATGGGCAGCGTTAGTCGGTACTGCCTCACACACTCTCCTGTACCCATCATAGTCGTTCGCCCAGAACGCAAAGTCAAGAAGGCCGTTGAAAAACGGAGAGCGGATCCTAAGAGAGGGACCCACTTCGACTAGGGTTCCACATGGCTCAATTGCAAACGGATTTAGAACTCGGCTTTAAGAGGATAGGATCCGATATACATAGGCTTCCCTCTTCGCCCTTGGTGCGGCAATATATCGCCAGTTTTTTTGCACCGAGAGAGGGAACCTTGGGACGTACTACTTGGTTTCCTTATACTGCTCGCTTCGCTCCTCTCACGGGGTGACTCTATCTCTCCCCATCTCGTCCAATCCACCCCAGCTCATTCATGTTCCGCCGGTTTCCTTCTCCATTCATCCTTGGTATGTAGTGGTTACAAGCTGTATCTGTCGTTCCCGACTCGACACCGCATAAATAATTATGTTGAATCGATGTTATTGTTGACGAATTGTCCTCAGAGATGATATTTCATCGCGGTTTCCACTCCACCAGTATATATTCTAAAAACACAAGCTCGTTCCTGGCTATTTGCGCGCGCAACTCACACTGCTGCATGTTCAATCAAGTCAAATGCCGCTCTATCTCACTTTCCTCGAAGCCGGCGACTCATTTTGTCTCCTGTCTACGCTATTAACGCTCTTCATGTGACCTGCCACCTTGTGCGCCTCTTCCACAAACGGTTGCTTCGCTGACTGTTACCAGATGGCTTACTGGCCAAATCACGAACAAAGGCATTATGTAAATTGCGAAATGAAACAATTATGCATGCCACACGCACACAAGACCTCACAAGACCTCACAAGACATTTGTTTTTCCCAAGGACACTCATTTAGTTGCATCCCGTTTGTATGACGAACCGAAGTCGATGCGAGCCTGCTCGTTTAGAGTTTTTCTTTGTTTTTTCCTTTTTCTAGAGCATTAAGCTTCGGGGATCGTGTATTATTTCAAGGCTTCTGGGAGGAAGTGGTTGTTGTCTTGTTGCGTATAAAATATGCTCGGGAAAGCATCGCTCTTTTCCCTCAGGTGGGATTCTGTCACCAAGTTCAATCTAGTAAGTCTTGTTCTCTCCCTTTTCGTGTATTCGCCTCGTAGACTAACTCTCCTCTGTCGAATCTCTAGGCGTTCCTCAGATGTTCGTTCCTCGCGCCGCCACTGTCGCAGCCGCGGCTGCAAGCTCCGTTCCTCTGTTCTCACTCACTGTCGACCAGACCCCGAATGGGTTTAACAGCGCCGCGAGGGGCTGGAATTCATGGGGTGGGTCTTTTTCATTCGAATGATTCTATTGTATCCTGTATTGAAGAAATCGTATACTCTTAATAGGTATAGAAGACAATCCTGCCACCGACCCAAGTTTCGTGTTCGACCAGACGCACATTGAGCAGCAATGTGATATTTTGGCTACTTCTGGCCTCATTAACCTTGGCTACACGACGTGCAGTGTTGACTTTGGGTGGTCTCTCGATTCTGGAGACGCGAACGGACGTGTCATCGCGAATAGCTCGTTGTTCGATATGGCAGATCTCGGTGATCATCTGCATAGTGAAGGTATGTTTCGGTTCTTTTTCTTTTCTCGAGGCTCGTCGTAGTACGCGTAATGAATCACTGAATCGTGCTTTTTTCTCGTTCTTTTTTAAGGATTGTTGCTCGGTGTTTATGTTCGACCCGGGGGTTGGTTGACGGATTTGAATAAGACGATTTTGGGCACTGATATCACTATCGGTTCGGTATGTACCGGAGATAATGGATTGAATCAATGTAATTGGGATTACGGAGCCGATGGAGTTCAGCAGTGGCATAATTCTGTCGTTGATTTATTTGCTGAATGGTGAGTCGTATATACGCATATCATATATACTTTCCCTTTCTCTTCCTTCCCCTTCTCTGGTGGCTCGAGCGTAACATTCATATATCTATCTTAGGGGTGTCGATTTCATCAAGCTCGATTTCATCACTCCCGGCTCCCCCCAGAATGGCGCGAACCTCCCTGCAAACACGTCTCTCTCCGTCGTCAACTACCACAATGCGATAGCCCAATCAGGCAGACAGATGCGTCTCGACATCAGCTGGAAGCTCGCACGCGACGACGTCGATTTTGCCATCTGGCAATCCAACTCCGAATCATTCCGAACAGACCAGGATATCAACAACGGAGGGACCCAACGTTCATCTTGTATCAAACTGTTCAGCGAGCGATTGATAATTACCGGCAGTACATTGTGTTGCATACGGCACAGGACGAGGTTCTCACTATATATCCTGATATGTGCAATATGTATATCGCCAATCCAATTGCAGTGGATGGGGTTGATAGCGATGATGAGCGGTTCACGATCATGACCCACTGGATAGGAGCGGGTTCTAATCTTATTCTTGGGAGTGATTTGACGAATATCGATGGTAAGTCATTAATTTCTTCGAAAATACCTGCTCGTGCGACTATTTTTAACCCATCATATAGCCACCGGGATGTCCATCATCAGCAACGCGGAAGCTATCAGCGTCGCAGATTTTGCAGCCAAGAACCCCATGCGCCCTCGCAACCCTGGAACTGGCCTCGGCGACGCCCAACAACTCCAAGCATGGATCGGCGGTCCCAACAGCACTGGCAACGCGTTCGTCGTCCTGGCCAATTACGGTCCTGACCAAGGCTCTGGCGGTTTCGGCACCAGTCTTACAGGAGCGCAGAATGTCAGTGTTACTTGGGCGGATTTGGGGATAAACGGAAGCTTCAGTGTGAGGGATGTATGGCAGGGACAGGATTTAGGTACTTTCGATAGTGCATTGAGTGCGAGTTTGGGGAGGGGCAGAGTTTGTTGGCAGTTTTGACGCCTGTGGGGCTTGATATAATGATTATTTACGGTTTGGGTTTATTGTTTATTTATTTGAATCATTTGGAAGAAGAATTGGAAGTTGATGTGTTCCTACGGGCAACAATACAGCATTTCCCTGCTCCTCCTCCAAGACTCTTTAAGATGCATCTGCAAAACCTGGGACGAGCTTTGGCTGCTCTGGAGCACTCTGGAGCGCTCCAAAGCTGTCAAAGCTGCCAAAGCAACCCAGAGCACTTCAGAGTGCTCTACAGCGAGTACCCTTGCTCTGAGATGCTTTGGACTGAATAGCAACTGAATAGAACTGCTTTGATCAAAACCCAGGTTTTGCAGATGTGGCTTTCAATTGTATATAATTGTGGGCTGTGGTTAATCCTCATTGACATCAAGATCATCGGAGCTGATCGATGAAAGTGGTCTGTGCAGGTTGTCCAGGACGAAGCATTACTGTGTCCAAGATGGAGGAAGGTTGCAGTACTTAGTAGGGTTATAAAGGTCGCGTTGAATGTAACTTACACCCTCATCAGTGCCAGTATGGATTTTGAGCTATTGGACTGCTGTGGAGCCTTGTATCTTTATTTTAGTTTTCAAGTTGATGTTATGGGAACTGCAACTCAATAAGTCTGCTCCAAACCCCAGTATTAATTTAGAGTCTTAGACTCAATATTGTTGGGTTGCTCATCAAACTATCCGATGAAATCTTGGGAATACAACAGCTTTGCTTATTCTTTCATTATGTAAGTCGTTGGGCATTGCGAGTATAAAACTAGAGGAGATTGCATGGCCATTGCTCGATTCTAGCGGAGCTGCGGTT